AAAACAAAAACAAATAATTTATTATATTGTTATTATAAACTGACATTGAGCATTTACTAATGATTTTCATTGTTTTTAAATAGATATTTTTATTTATTGTTGTGGTGAAATAAGTCGGTCCCAATTTTTGTTCTTTGGTTGTTATTTTAACAACTAAAATTCAGAAAGATGAACAATCACTTGACACAGGACTTTTTAAAACTAAGTTAAAAACAGGATTTGATTTTTGATTGCATAATAAATTATGAAAAAAAAGAAACTTTTTGATAATAATTGTGGTTAAAGTTTTTATAAAAAACAAAATTGTTATAACCAGTTAACAACCCAATGCTGCTCTTTTTAACAGTTTTTCAAAAATTTGTCCCAAAACTGTTAATAATTAATTCAAAATCAAACAATTTTGAATTATTATTAGGTGATTTTCCTGAAAAAATAGATAAAAACAAATAAATAACAATTATCATAATACAATTTTTTTTATCAAGTAATCGTTTTGTTCATTTATTTTTTATATAAAAAACTTATAGGCAAAACAGAACAAAAATTACAACCAAAATAATAAAGAGTTGGTGGAAAATAAGTCAGCTTAGCAAATTTTAGTTCAAGAGAATATTTATTATTTTAAATAAATAACATTTTGTATTATTTCAAAAACATTAATTAAAAAATAAAAAAAACAATTAAAAAAATTTGTAAAACCAAACAATGGTTGATTTTTTTATATTTACGTTAATAAAATTATGTTTCGGATACTTAACACGGTTTTGTTGTTGTGGTTTTGTTACCTCATAAACAGTCAATTGCAACAACTTGATGTTTTTTTGTAATTGAAAATAATGATTTGGCAAATATAAAAGAAAGCAAATTTGAAATATATCAAGATGACAGTCTTTTTTGCTCAAAATTTTTGGCTCGAACCAAAAGTATTTTTAATATTCGATTTTTAATTGGCACATTTTTTATTTAAAATTGTGGGGATTTGGTTGAATTATGTGGAATTTTGGCTGGGATAGTTTCTATATATGCATTGACAAATTTGTTTTTTGAACTCCAATAATTTGAAATGCCAATAACATTCTCAGTAAAATATTTTTATACACAACTTTTTATTATAATAAAAACAATTTTAAACAACTTTTAATTTATTATTTGGTTCAAATAATATAGTTTATTAAAAAAAATATCCATAATTACCATTAATGAGTAACACAAATAATACACCTTCGGGATTTTACGAATTAACAATATGCCTTTTCAAATTAATTACAGACAGTTTCGATGCTACAGTCAATTTTTATATGTATATTAAACACAATCTGAGCTTTTTTAATTGTAACACTCCTTTATTTGTTCCTTTTTATAATATGTGTTGTCGTTTGCTCACAAGTTGTACTCAAAATTATTTACACCCAAGTTTTCAAAATTTTCTCCCTTCTATTAATAACACTTCAACTACAATTCGTCCAGTACAATTATCTAATGAATCTGACAAAAAAGTTGAAACTCAAGTATCTGCAATTAATCTTCAAAAACCCCGAAGTGAACGATTTTTATTTTCGGAAGATATTACAACAATCACAAGTAGTAAAAATCATTCACTCCATGTTATTGGGATCATTCTTTTTATCGTTCTGGAGGTATTTCAAATATTTATAAGTGTTCACAGTATCGTAACGGTTGCAAATGCTCAAATTTTATTACTAAAACAATAGAAAAAGAGGTATATTGAAATATAAGCAGTTTAGATATCATACAACGGATCAACACAACCACACACATCCCAAACTTTGTGACAAATTAAACAGTATTAAAGAAATAAAATGTGTTGCTGAAAAAACTTCAAAACAACAACTCCTGGAAAAGCTGTGATAACGTTTGACTATTTCAAATACCCTTTCAGAATGTCTTTGGTAATGAAAATATACAGAAAAAAACAAGAAAACAAAACCCAATTTTCAATAACTGAACACTCTAATTATATCAACTATTTTGTAGGTTCAACTTCTAATTGTTCAGTTTTTTGTAATAAAAAGAATTTTTTACAATTGAAAAATAATATATAGATAACCATTTGATGTACGGCACATTCAAGTCAAATCCTTATGGTTATTACCAAACTTATACTGTACACATACAACTGAAAAATTTGAAAATTTTTTTAACTATTTCATTGTTTATTGAAAAGTAAAAACAAAGAAACATACACTGACATGTTTAAAATGATTATTTATTTTGAAATAGATAATGGTATTGAATTATTTGGCAATAATACAATAACAATGATAGAATATGAAGTTACAGTTATTGTGGTTTTGAACACTTTAACAAAAATGACTATTAAAGGTTATTATTTTTATTATGGACAATGTTTGTGGAAATAAATTGCATAAAATTACATGAAAAGTAGATTATATGAGAGTATATTTATAGAACAATTGAAACCGCTCAAATGTTTGGCTTTTTTCCAGTTGATAAAGTTATATCAGTGTTTAATCAACTCAAAACAAAAATCGTAACAACAAATGATAATGACCTAATAAAACTGTTCGTATACTTTGAAGATACTTGGATCAACGGACAATATCCCATTGTTGTGTGAAACCAGTATAAAGAAACAACAAGAACAAACAACTTTTGTGAAAGTTTTCACAGTTCTTTTATTAAATTGGTTGGAAACATAAAACCAATAGAGTTGGTATGGTTTGATACAATATATGATTATGAAATAATTGAATCAGTCAGATTAAGTAAACTAGAGGAGGGCCACAGATAACGCAGAAGAAATAAATTCAGTGAAGTTTCAAAAAGATTGCCGATGTGACAAATACAAACTAAACATTGAAACAGTCTGATGAAACTTTCATTATCAATATGATAAATGCACTCGACAAATTTCAAGATGAAACAAAATACGATATTGAAGACAATCATTATTTTGATCAATCGTTCATTGATTCGAACGAAGAAAATATTACAAATCGAAGAAAAAAATCATTTAAAAACGGAGTCGAAAAAACGTGCAATATTAAAAGAAAAAAGCAGTAAAAAATCAAGCGAAAAAACTTCAAGGATTTGGATGATGTTTCAATGTTTGATTTTTTAAAACATGATAGACTACAAACAAGTCTCTCTTTTGATGAAAACAAACCAATTAAACAAAAAAAAACAAAGAATATATACCCGTATCAAAAAGAAAATATTTTGGCGGTTATAAAAATGAAAGAGTGTAAAAACATTCTAAATAATTGAAAATTGTTTTAAATTGTTTAAAATTGTTTTCGGCATCATAAAAAGTTGTGTATAAAAATATTTTACTGAGAATGTTATTGGCATTTCAAATTATTGGAGTTCAAAAACAAATTTGTCGATGTATATATAGAAACTATCCCAGCCAAATATTTGGAGCAAAATGTGTGGCACCCATTTAGAAACATATCGACTCTACCATTGATGACTAAGACTGTATCGAAATGATAAAACAGAAATATCAAGACGAACTTGAGAACATAAAAACTAATCTTGAACAAGAAAGAAAAGACCACATTAGACCCACTTGATAAAAGGGTAGTATGTAAAGAATATTGTTGAAATAACAGTATAAACTAAAACTATTAAGAAGAATACCCAGCTGGCTGAACAAGAAAAGGTCAAGACTATAAGGCACTTAAAAGTTGTATCAGAAAAAAATAATGAAAACAAAGCCTGAACTTGATGAAAAATGGAACAATAACGCAATTGACTATGTTTTTGAAGTAATATGTTCTTCCTCTTCCATCACATGAGACGCCAGTTATCAAGCACCTAGTGGTGCGGCTTTTTGACTTCATCAAACAGAACAACGTTGAACGTTTTCTTCTGACTGCCTCTGTCAATTGCCACCCTTGTTGTGTCCAATGTATCCCGTGGCACTTCAATCTGTCGTGAGATGTTGTGTAACTACGTGTATTCACTCGTGTTGATTCTGACGTCGTTGTTGTTCTTGTCATTAAATAGCCTATTTGCACGTGTTTTTGCAAACTCCATCTTGTCAACACCACTTGGCCCAAGGTACATGAGTGACTTGGTTGATTATTTGTCTGAGCAAAGACCACTTCTGCTTTTCAGAATATCATGCCCAACAACTCTTGTGCAACTCGTCACCAAGTTTCAGGAGTCTTGTCTTCTCGCTATGTGTCATTCTGCTAATTAAAATGCCTGCCCGTTTGCTCTACATTTTCTATCAATTGTGGGCCATTAATAACAATGTTGATGTCTCTTTTGTTGGTTTTTCAATTCTGTGCAACCTCAAGATCTCTTGTTGTCTTGTTCAACTCTCTCCGCCATCTTCCCAACTATCAGTTGTGTGTCTTTTGTTTCCAAGTTTTTGATTTCCTCTGGCCGTGAGTTCTTCTATGTGAAGAGTGTTGCTGACACCGTCAACCAAATTGATTGCATTGTTGCGAGTGTAGTAGTCGTATCTCTTTGACAGCGACGAAGCTGCAACAAAAGCATTTCCGCGACTGTCAGTCCATAAGGGCTTGCTCCTAATGCACTGGCACACAAGACAGTGTGGCTTTTATCTATGAACAGAATAATTTGGACCTTCGACTCTTTCATTTAAAAAAACAGCATTAAATCGTTCTTCAAACATTCCTTTGTACTGCCATCAGCAATCAGTGCACCCATATCAAGTGCAATGAATCTACAATGCAAGTTCGAAGAAACAACATTTTACTTTTTGCTGCCCCAAACATTTCACAACAGTTGTTTTACTAAAACCAAGTTCAACAATCGATGGTAAAAAAGACTATTTTTATTCAACAATAAAACATTTTTGTTGTGGTTTTGTTTGAATTTTTTATTTATTTATTGAATAGTATTTTTTTAATTTAATACTCCAAATAAAGAATAACAATTTTAACGAAATATTTTTATTTTCAAATACATTAAATATTATTTTAATGACGCATTTTTAATTGTTTTTAGCACTAAAATAATGTATTAAAATTTAAATTAATAAAATGTTAAAAAGAATAGGTATTTTTACGATAATAATCTCATAACTTGTAATGGTGAATTATATATTAATCTATAATTTATTTAAAATGTTTTGATTTTAAATTATTTAAAGACCAAAAAACTGAAAATATCAAAATGCGTGGACTTTCTGGTTATCACATCATGATAGTCTCGAAGTACTTCGAAACTATCAAAGACTTTATTAACTTGGAGTTGGTATGCAAGAAGTTTGGTGGTAATATGGAGAAGTTTCATTTCAACCCGATTCCGTTAAATTACACAACACTTGGATACTTTCCAAACATCGAAACACTTCACTTGTGGGATAAAAAGGATGAGAATTTTGGCAATGGATTTATGATCAACAGAAAAGAAAATAAAGATATTGAAAATGAAGTTGTTTTAAAAAGAGAATTTTATCGAATCATTGTGTGGTTTGATGTTAACTTTGAAACTGTTGACAGAAACATTAATCGAAACATCGAGTTTAAGGATGTTATTTACACTCAAAATGATAGAAAGAAGTTTGGTAATAACATACCATCAAGTGTAACATCAATTGGTAAATATTGTTTCAGTGGATGCAGTTGTTTGAGCAGTGTTAACATACCATCAAGTGTGACATCAATTGGTGATGAATGTTTTTATGGATGCAGTAGTTTGAGCAGTGTTAACATACCATCAAGTGTGACATCAATTAATTATTGTTGTTTTTATAAATGCAACGATCTAAGCAGTATAACAATACCATCGAGTGTGACATCGATTGGTGATGGTTGTTTCTATAAATGTAGTAGTTTAAGCAATATTACAATACCATCAAGTGTGAGATCTATTGGTGCTGAATGTTTTCATGGATGCAGTAGTTTGAGCAGTGTTAACATACCATCAAGTGTGACATCTATTGGTGATTATTGTTTTATAAATGCGGTAGTCTGACAAATATTACAATACCATCGAGTGTAACATCAATTGGTTATAGATGTTGTTTCCAAGGTTGTAGTTGTTTAAGTAGCATTACAATACCATCAAGTGTCACATCAATTGGTGATCAATGTTTCCCATCAAATACAGTAGTTTATCGAAATTAATTTACTTGTTACTTAATGTTTATTGTTGTTTGAAAAAAAAATTAATTAAATTATAAATTTTGTTATTAATTATTTATTAAAAATAAAAAAGTTGAAAAATCAAATTAAATTATTTAGCAAAATTGATTTAATCAATTTCTTCAAAATATACATGGAGGCTCCGAAAGCGGCCCCCCTCCCCCACCCACCTCCTGGGAACAGAGATTACTTAAATGTAAGATTGTGTAAAATGGTGAGTATATACCACGTCATTATAAAGATATTAATAAGTTAATATCAATTATAATTAATAGACATTTAATCATAATAAATATTACTTCTAAATAATAAATTAAATATTTGTAATTGTAGAAATATATTCAATTTTTTTTAAATAAGAAAATAAAAAAACCATCAATTTTCATACAGCCATGACAAGGACCCCTTAATGTTCTATAAATAAAACAATATATTAAATAAGTTAATTAATTAAAATATATTAAAAATTAATTAATAATTAAATAATTCGAAAGAAATATATAATTAGAAAGTTAATTAAATATATAGTTATTTGATGTTTAAAATTAAAATATATAATTAATTTATATTAATTAATAATTTGAAAAAATAATAAATCATAAATAATAATTAATAGATAATTAATATGATAATAAACTGTTTTTCAAAAGTCGGTACTGAAATGTCCCGATTTTTTGCATTTATTTTGTTTATTATTTTTGGTAATCGTTTTTTTTGTAATAAATTCGCTTATTTTTTCCAAGTAAAAAAGAGAAAAACGGTCTTCAAAAAATATTATTTTACTTGAAGAAATTTTAAGCATAAAAAACTTCCATCTAAAATATGAAATAATGGTATTTTTGTTTTATAAAAACACACAAATGATCCCAAATGTGCATTTTTTTTTAAAAAAATGATAATTATTATATTTCAATACCTTCAGAGTCAACCCTTTATTTATCAGAAAAAGAAAAAAATGGCAAAAGCAAAAGCGTTGCTCGAAGAAAATTATGCTTACGGTGCCTTCGCAAAAATAGTTGGAATTTCAAAAACCACAGTATCTGAATTAAAAGAGGGGGAGAGGCAAAACCTAAAAAAATGGGTCGACCAGAAAAAGTGTTTAGAGAACATATTCAAATTGTAGTAAAACAAACAATTGATAATCCAAAACTATTTAAATTATGCATAGAGAATCAAGGAAAATTTATAGGACATTTGCTTTAATTTATTATTATTGGTTTTTAGAACTCAAAATTTTATTATTATTTGTATTGAAAGAGACCACGAGTTTATTTTTTGTTTAAAATAAAAATTTAACGAAATTGATTTTTAGTATTTTGACATAAATGATTCGGATTCAATTCACTGAGATGTTTGTTGTTGTGTAATTAGCACAACTATACTGTGTGTGTTGTATAGTAGAATTCCAATTTTTGTCCAATCAAATAACGGGATCGGGTTTTTTGGAAAAGGTTGGCTAATATGCCAATAAAGTCCCGATATCGTACGAAAATAATTGAACGGGATTGGTATTTTTTCAAAATTAAGTAAATACTTTCGATTTTTTGTTTTTTAGGAAAAAACAAAAATAAAAAACGGGACTTAAGGAAATTCTATAAATACAGCGGTACAGACTTTTGAACTATAGTCAGCGAAAAAACCACTTGTGGAATAAAACCACTTGAATAAATAAAATGGTTCTTTTTTAACAAATTTATCGTTTTGTTTATAGTTTAAGTTTTTTAAAAAATTTATTTTAAGTGTCAATTTTACATAAAAAAGAAAGACCACTCTCTTCATACTCCGTAGCTTTTGCATTTTTTACTCACAAAATTTTTTCTCATTTTTGTTTTTCTGTTTTTTTTCGAATATCGAGTGCACCTTTAATCAACAAAATACACTTTTTTTTAGAAAAATGCTTTTACCAAACTTATTTTAGAATTGTGCAAAAAATACAGATTTAAAAATTAATCATTATCATTTTATATTTAGAACCAGTCTTTCAATTCCCGATCATTTAAGTCTTCATGGTGTATTATTCAACTATAAAAATGAAAAGTTATCCAGAATGAACAAAATAACACTGCGATTATTGATTGTTTTAACCAACAGGCATAAACGCCTTTTTACCAAAAAGACAAAAAATACATTAAAAATATTACAACTAAAAAACCCGGTTCTTAACAGAAATAATACACTATTGTCTAAAAAATAAAACCAAAAAGGCAAAAAATACGACTATAACAGATATTTATGATGTATAGTAACGGGAAATATTATTAGATGAAACTTGAATATATACAAAACCTCAATCTTAAAAATAATAAAATTATCTGTTAAATTGAAATTTTGACTTTTTCTTTCTTTTCAGTGTATTAATAATAATATTATAAAGTATAATTTATTTTTTTTTTCAAATACTAATTAATTATATAATAAATAATAGTACAACAATATCTAAAAATAAAAAAGAACATTAATAACACAAATATCCAAATAAAATAACTATATAAAAATTAATAACAACTATTAATAAATAGTTAAATGAATCTACAAAAAATCACATTCAAAAAAAAACTATTAATTTATATATTTTTTAATCATTAAATATATTTTTAAAAACAAAGAGAAAAATTGATTGATTTAATTAACTAAAATGATATAAATATGATATATTTAATTATAATACATTAATTTATTATAATATATAAAAAATAAAAAAATGTGTTAATTAAAAAAAGATAATAAAAAAACCAATTATTTATTGGTACATATTTTAAATCTTATATTGGTATTATTTTTATTTAATGTGTTATTATTTTTAATACATTTTTATACTACTATTATTATATATGTGTTATTAAGTTTTAATTCAAATTATTGTTTATCACATTTAAATGGTATTATTTATTATTTAGAAATTAAGTTAATTATTATATTGAAATTTATATTGAAAATTGATTTAAACCGAACCCACCTTAAGAACAATTCAATTACAAACACTGATTATTTTATTCTTTTCAATTTAATTACTACTATAATTGAAAATTATGGGGTTTTATTTTGTTTAGCTAAGGACAATAAAACTGTGATATACGTATCAATAATATACTTAATGAGCTTATAAACGTTGAATTTGAAATACATGTATATACTTAGTAGAGGAGAATGAAATTTTCAAGTACCAAAGTAAATAACAAAAAAGAAATAATAATATTAAAAGCATTTTTGTAAGTCATCATTGTGGTAATGATGTTATACTATTTGAATACCAACATTTGTATGATTCTAACGATTTAATAATGTGTTTATTGACTAACAGGTGATGGTCATATTAAATTTCTCTAATGGCTGTTCGGCGACTTATGATATGACTGAGAAGTCAACGCCTTTTGAAGTGACTTCTTTAGTTCAAAAAGACTTTATTTAGAACTAAATAACTATTAACTTTAATAAATTATATTATATTAATTATAGTCTCAAAAATGTGTAAAAACACAATAGTTGTTATAATTTGTTATATTATAATCATATAAATATAATTTAAAAAATGATTTGAGAAGATATAATTGGGACGGTATTGTTTCATTTCCTTTTATAATAATAATTATATTAAATTTATATGGTTTATTTTTTGAATATCTTTGACATGATAAATGGTATTTTGAATAGTTATTTAACTAAATATTTAGGTCAACAACTTTTAAGACCACTAAAAAGTCGGCGATTTTCAAAGGGACTGTAAAGTCGCCGAACAGCTATAATGATATTTGTATCGTTTATTATGATACATTTTGAATAAAGTTTAGCAATTCAATAGTTATTATATAGTTTACTTAAAATAATTCTGACTTGATATAGTTAAAACAATTAATATTTATTATAATTAATACTTTAGGTGTTCAATAGAATTTTTATTACCAAAAATGTGGATTTTTAACACTTAAAAAGTATACAAAATGAGTTTTTGGGAAATGATTAATAATAACAAGATTATTCAAAATATGTTTTATGACAATTCAAATAAAATAGTAAAAAACTATAAAATTAAACCAGTCTTAGCTTAAAAATTCGAATATGAATAACATCGAAGTGGATACTTTTTTGTCCGCCTGATTTAACACATCCAAATAATGCGAAGAATATTCGCATTTGTTGCGTTCTTAACAATCTTCTTAAAGTTATTATCTCTTCAAATCATCAGAACATCTAATTCTGCAACTTGTTGAATTCTTAAAGTCGTGTTTAAATGAAACTCGAGACTCTTTTACTGTTTTTGTTCAATCATATCGGCAACACTACAGAATTTTGACTGTAAATTGTTGTTTGTTTCAACGTCAGGTTGTCTTTTATTTTACCTAAGATCGCGTCCATACTAATAATATCCGACATGTCATCAAACTGTAAAGCGGATTTAGCAGCGTCAGACAATCTATTCATGTTGTCGTGAACTTTGTCCTCTGTATTTATTATGAGGCTTTCCATTGTATCGGCTTAGTCTTTTAAGCCTTAATCGGGTTATTCAAGTGGCTCACTTATCGGCTATGGTTCTAGCTGCTATTCTACGTCTCGATATTTTTTCACCTTGTATTGTCAAAGCTTAATGAATTTTATGTATTATTAAAGTTTTTTATTAAAACTATTATAAATATATTTAATGCTTTTATATTATTTTTATAGTTAAATTATAGTAAATATTGCGTATGTAGTATATTAATAGATTATTTCAAGTTCTATAACAAACAATCGTAAAAAACCTAAAAATAATTAAAAATAGAACTCAAAAAACAAAAATGGAACTTATACACAACAACGTTAAATTTGAAATTTGTGAATTTTGGTTTTTAAGGG